CACCACCCAAGTCTCTGCTGACCTCCCTCGTTCAAGCTGCTCAACCTCCTTTGGCCTATAGGGGCCCCTCTCCTGGAACTGTGGCACAGACCTTTACGTCCGTCGCGTAGCTTCTCGATAGACTTCGAATACCTGGAGGGCAGAGTCTATACCTTACAGGCTCGTATGCCCAATTCATCTCCATGGCCTCACCGAGCCCAAACCCCTGCAGGTGCTCAAGAAAGGACTTCTGATGAATTCCAAGTGGAAACCGTCCCCAGGGGTCAAGACATTATTCCTGTGTAGGATTCTGTTGACAGATAAGCAAGATTCTATCCAAGCCAAGGATTGGGTGGAGCTAACTTCTCCTTATCAAGAAAAAGGTCATGACCTATTACATCTTCCTTGGTACTAACATAATGCAGATCATGATGTAACTGCTTTTCTGTAGAAAACATTCTGACTATAAGAGCAAAAATACCTGTGTGTGTGTGTGTGTGTGTGTTCTTGCTTTCATCACGATCTTTCCACTCGCCAGACATTATTAGGTCGTGGAATTCTTACAACCACCCTGGTTGGAGGTTTTACTGTCCCCATCTTACAGATGACGAAACTGAGGTATAGAGAGGTACCAGGATTCAAATCCGGGTCTGTCTGACCACAGAGCCCCAAGTCTTAATGCCCGTGGCTACCATGCTACCTTCTGTCATCCGAGTGGACTATGTCCAGCTGACTTCCAGGGGGGCTTGAGGAGGAGCACAGAAGCAGGCATGAGGAAGCACATATGGGCGTTGGAGAGCCACACCTCCATCCTGGGCTTCCTTCTAAGGAATACCGAGAAAGCAGAAAGGCTCCTTCCGTAGGAATCACAACCAGAGACATGGGCCCCCCCCAGCTGGAAGGCGCCCACCCCCCGCCCCGCTCCCACTGTTCTCTCCTGCTCCATGGAACCCAGCAACGCCCCGCTCCTCACACCCACTGACACCAGGCCAGCCAGACACAGGAGCCCACAAGTTCCCACACCGCCCCCTCAGCCCTCACTTCCCACGGAAAGCTCCGGGCACACGCGGCTACACACATGTGCAATCCCTGGACCGCCCTGCCTCGGAAACAGCCCCACCCCTGCTCATCTCAACCACCAGCGTGGGGAGGGCTTGGGCGCTCCTGCCAAACACCCTCACCTGTGGCCACAGCACTCCCCTGCACCTCATCTCCTGGACTGCTCCCTCCGCGGCCAAGGTCGGGGAGAGGGGGGTGGTCCGGGCGGTCTCCTGGGTCTTCCTCACCTACACACACACTCCCCGGTCCACCCCAGAGAGATCCAGCCCAGCCAAAGTCAGAGAGGAGAAAAGAAAATCAAGATAAACCATTTTCAGCCTTGCCCGCTGGGGAGGTAACCACATCCTGCAATGTCCCGGGCTCCGCGGTTCTAAAAGATTTATCTTCCCCTGACCACATGCTCATTGATGTTTCCCCCAGCGCTACTTGCTTGGTCCACTAGCGCGTAATGTAAAGCGATCCCAGTGAGAAGCTGAACTCCGGTGGAGCGCTGGGCCAACAGGTGATTAAACCCTGAGGTCCCCCTCTGGTCCCTGGCAGGAGGGCTGGGGGAGGAGTGGCTTCCAGCGACAGGCGCTGCCTTCAGCTGTGGCCGGCTGGCCTGGCACTCTCAGCTCTGGTCCAGAATCCTCTGTCCAGAGATGCCCGATTCCCTGGCACCCCTGAAGCAGGGCAGCCAGGCACCATGATTTATGAGGCAGCTGAGGAATGAAGGTTGCCAGGAACTGACTTAAGCAACTTTTGGAGAAACATGGACAAAGCAATGGGAACAGGACTGAGGACCAGAGTTGAAAACATCTCGGCCCTTGATGTCCACTCCTATGGGACTAGCCCCCTGCCCCAGCTGGAGTCTGCTCAAAAGCAGCATCTGTGCCTAAGGACCAGGGGTGGTGACCTGGCTGGGCTCCCTGCTGGCTCAAACCCTGAAGCCTCGGAAGAAAGCTCAGCTCTGCTTTTGGGGAACGGAGGCCAACTCCTCCTCGTCTCCTATCTGCCCCGCCTGCCACCCAGCCCTGCTGTGCAGAGTCCCAGCATCCCAAGCAGATGGCAAGGGGTGGCTGCAAAGGGCTCCCGAAGCCCAAGACCATAAGGCTGAGCCACAAATCAGAACAAACGGGCCAAGGTGTGGAGGGTGAGCTGAGGGGACGTGAATGCTCAACATTCACAACGGGGAGGCTCCAGGCTGCCTCTTAACGGGCTTCCACCGTGGAGAGCTCTCCAAGCAGGAGCTGAAGTGTGGGCAACTCCCAGGGAGGCAGAGAAGGGCGCTGCCGGGAGCATGTGGGACAGGCCTCGGACCCCTCCCACCAACCTGGGAAGGAATGGTCCCGGAAGCCCTTGCCGGGGCCCAGGCAGCAGCCACTGCGCCAGGGTGAGTCCCACGGCATGGAAAAGTCAGCTCACCACCCTGGGTCTGGCGGAGCTGTGTCCTTCTTCTACCCACGAGGCTTGACACTGCAGCCTGGACGTGGGGCAAAACCCTTCTGCCTCGGGGAGCAAGCCGGTAGAATGGGTTGCTGGCTAAAACAGACCCTCACACGGAGTGCTGGAGAAGTTGGCCTGAGCTCATGGGGTCTATAATTCAGCCTGTTGTCAGGAACTAGGCCCCTGGAGGCAGAAAGCAAAGCAATTTGCAGCCACCCTCACCTTCCCCATGTGGGAAGGCCCTTCGGACAGAAGCGGGGCCATGCGGGGTGAGACGTCCTGGGGAATCTGTGCCACACCCATCCGCCCTCGAGGACCCCTTGGAGGGTGCTCATCGCCCCTTCTCCTTGCCCCCGGGTCCGCTAGCACCCGCCACTGCCCGCAGACCTCCTGTCACGCAGCCCCAACCTCTCTGGCAGGACCACCCAGCCCTGCGTCCACTCTGGTGGCTCTGACCCACTTTGCTTTCCTCAGGCCACAGCCCCAAAAACGCTGATGCGACTGCTCCCCACCCCCATCCTCAGAACCCGGAGCCAAAGGAAATTCTCAAGAGAAAACACACACCTTTCCAAGTCTCCCCGCCACACGAGCCCCCCAGATCCGTCAGCCACATACACCTCCCAACCCTGTGCGACCATGAGGCGTGTCTGCAGGGCAAGCGAGGGCTTCCTCGCGCTTGGGCCGCTCCTGCAGGACAACACAGTTGCTCTGGCCACCCGCTCGGGACCGTCCTCGGGAGACCTGGGGCCTGGTTCCAGCTCAGCAGCTGACTCACAGTGTCAACAGATCCCACTTTTCCCCCCACCAGGAGCCTTGACACTCAGGGCCTCTAATTCCCTGTGACAGGCTCTCGATCTTCCGGCTGCCTTCTCCCCAGCACATTCCAGGCCTCCACTTCCATGGCCTCCCACCCTGGTCTCTCTACCTGATGAGAATCTCTGACCTTTGTACAGCCTTTCACTGTTTACAGAGCGTTTGTTTCCATGTGCACCATCTCCTTTCCTGCTCTGTGACCACTTGGTGACATGGATCTGAGAGGTAGTCACCTGCCCAAGGTCACACAGCTAAGACTGGAGTGTAAGTCTTCTGGCTCCCTGTGCACCAGGACGACACGCCAGCTTTAAGGGATCTCAGTGGCATCTCCAAGCACCCACCTTTTGGCAAACGAGATGCCATCCACCACCCTAGTCTCCCATACCCTCCACATTGTTCTTCTGGACTCCTACTAAAGGCCTTCCCCAGGCCCAGCCCAAGTTCACCCCCTTTATTCTTCTACCCCGTTTCCACTGCCCCCAGAGATCCCCAAAGTCCTAAAGATGCCCCCCACATCCAAAGACTTCCCTGGAACTCTAAATTGCCCCTCTGCGAGGTAGACACCACGCGGCGCAGAGTGAGACCCTCACCCAATGCTTCCCAAAAGACTGGTGGGAGCAGACGCAATCCTGACACACTCCCAGTGGCTGCAGATTCATCTTTCAAGTAACCCCCCCCTACAATGATCCTCTGGACTCAAAGGCTCCCAAGCATCAAAGAAGAGAAGCAACTCCCAGCTACCCTGGAGTGAAGCATCAACCCAAAGTGAAGACAGGGCCTGGAGAGTACAGACAGACGGTGCCCCACCTCTCCCAGTGCTCTGACACGGTCACCTCTCAGTCCTGCACATTTCTCTTGACACATGTTCAAGTATAGTGATCGCAGCTGAGAACCATTCCCCTCTTCCTGCTTCTCCAAAGCTAGATGAATACATGAGCCCAGGACAATGCTAGTACCTGGTCAGGTTTCCATCTGGGTCACCGTTGGGTTCCTCGTGGTAGAAGCATCTCCTGGCATCGCTCTTTCATGTCCGTTAATAAAGGACACCAACCTTCTCCCAGCCTTTCTCCTTCCTCAGTGCCGGTGTACCCAAGAGGCATTAAAAGTGGGCCCTGGTGACAGAGGCCATGCCCCTCATCATCACCAGAGTGGCAGGATGGACATTTACCCTTCCCATCCACCAGGGTCTGGGAGCCACGGAGTCCCCCCTCCCGGGGCCAAGCAGCCTCCGGCACCACGCTGTGCCAAGGCCATTTCTCGCAGTCACACCAGAAAGTCCTGTCATGCTGAGGACACCGATTCTTCAAGTCCAGGTGCCATCATTCCAGACCATGTCAGGCCAGAACCATCCAACACCCTAGCACCCATGCCAGGAGAACCGCCACGTGCCTACCAACTGCCACTGACACCCCGAGCCAGTCCTAGCGCGGTGCCCACCACCGACCTGCACAGAGGGCTGCACCCGCCTCCCACCTGGGCGGCCACCACCACACCAAGGTGGGGGTGAGTCTTCTGACACCCGTGCCAGCCCCACGCTGCCCACGCCCGTGCCACGGGTGTCACCATCCCCACGCCGGTGCCAGGAGCTCCACGGATCTCACACCTGCCACCGGCGCTCGTGGCAGCCGCACCGCCGCCAGCGGACCCGTCGGGCCGGCCACCGCGCGCCCTGGACACTGCCCAGCCCGTCGCGTCGCTCGCACCGCGCCCGCGGCCCCCCTTACCTCCCGCCCTCCGCAGGGCTCGGCCCGCCGCCGCCGCGACCGCCACCTCCATCCTGGGCTCCCCAAGGCCCCGATTCACTAACGCCGCTTCCGCAGGGCGCCGGCGCCGGCGCGAAGGCCGCCTCCGCCCCCCGGGGGACGCTGCGTCCTTTACGTAAACCCCACTCCGCCGCCAGCGGTGACCATGGCGACGGTCGTGGGGCGGCAGCGCCCCCTGGTGTCAGGGAGGGGAGCGGCGCTGAGGCCGGGGCCAGCCGAGCCTTGGCAGGCGCGGGCCCGCAGCGTGGGGGCGGTGGGCGCCCGGCTCCGGCAGCCGCGGGGGCTCCGAAGGCGGCCGGGAGAGGCAGGACCCGCCGTGCGGCACGCGGGGAAGGGAGCGCCTGGGTCCACCTCCTTCAGGCCCCGCGTGACCGGGCTTAGCGTGGGAGAGGTAAAAAAGCAAGTAGGATCACTGGAGAACTGGTTCATTTAGGGGGAGGAAAGAGAGAGATGGGTTCCACCTCCTCGGGGTGACTGAGTGGTCCGTGAGGGGTCGGAACACTCCATCACTTGTGTCCTGCCCCCCGTTCCCCATCCCCCCAGTGCCCAGCATCGTGCCTGACATCCAGAGGGGCCCTTGGTCAATTGTAAATTCCTGGTAATTGAAGAAAATCTCCCCTCCTATTTGGCTTCACACACACACACACACACACACACACACGCCCATTCATTCAAGCTGTAAATCACTTAACACACCTTCCCTGAGAGCTGCTCTTGAGCTGGGAGCACTACTGTCCCCGAGCATTGTGCTAATAAGGGTGGGGAGTGGGGAGAGCGAGTGGGCACAGAGAGAAGCAGAAGCCAGGCCCTGCCCTCAGGGAGCTCAGGGTGTTTGTGGGTGGGACCTAAGCAGGGAGGGCTCTTTACAAGGGGCACTTATAAGGAAGCCCCAGGGGAGGGAGTTGGGTCTGGAGGACTGGATGACCCAGTTGGGTCTCAAAAGTCCAGCAGAAGTTCTTCAGAGGCAAAAAGGGGAGTAGTGTGCTTCTGCAGGGGAAAGGCCTCTAAAGTGTTTCCTGGGCCCTGTTGTCATCCCAGGAAAACAGGGTGATTGGCACTGGCTCAGTGCAAACGGGAGCCACAGTAGAGCATAAGAAGCTGTGTGTAAGGGGGTCTGACGTGGAGCATCAGCCTGAAAATTACCTGGCCACTCGGGTTTGAAGTGAGACTGAGTTCAGAGCAGACTGCCTCTCTGCTGAAGCAGGTGGAAGCTACTACTTCTAGAAAGAATTCTGTGTTACTTGTGTTATTTTGAAGGCAAACTCCAGCTTAGGTTAAAAAAACAAAGAAAATGGGGTGGATGGGGAAACAAATAGTGGGGTGGGGTGCCTGAGAGGATTCAAGGAAATGTTGTACCCTCCTAGCCTGAAGGAAGGGGATGATCAGGGAGGCTTTAAGGACTGACTGTAGCACTAACAGTTTACGGACCTTTACCAGATCCTTGTCATTAATCAGAATCAAAACTGCCAAATCTAATGTCTCTTGGTTCCAAGTTCTAGATTCCCAGAAGAAGGAATCTTATTGGTCCAGCTTGGCCCATGGTCGATCGTAGTAACTTACAACCTTAGCTGCCCTGTGCACACAAATTCGCATGTGTACATACACACACACACACACACACACTCACACACACCATCCTTCCATTCATCCAAACGAGTATCAATATTCCATGGTCAGGCCCCTCCAGACTTAATGTCATGTCATGGTTAATATCCAAGTCCAAGATTTTCAAGGTGCTGTCCATTTCTCCTCAAGTGAGTCCATCTGGGCATCTAACAACTGAATTAAAGGGCACATTTCACCACCACCAACATGTCTTTTAAATTTTCCTGATTGAAGTGTATCATTGACACCATCGTAAGTGTTTCAGAAATGCAGAATCTCAGGCCCAGGACTCTCAGCAGGTTAAGATCCCCAGGCGATTTGTGTGCATATTAAAGTTTGATATAAATATAACTTTGACTTAATTGTTGTTATAAAAATTGGGGGGAAGGAAAAGGAAAGATATGAAAAATATTTTTTCATTGCAGTCATTCCTACTGAAAAAGAAAAGGAGGGAGGGGTTAATGATTTCATCCTCAGCAACTCCAGTGGCCAGCAAGAAAGCACAAGCAGGGGCTGAACTCTTTATTTTCGCAACAGTTGCAAACTCCTGAAAGGTGTTTATGACTTCTGTCCTCTGACTCCTTATTTCACGTTCCGCTGGCCTCCAGCCTGCGTCTCCTCTGGTCAGGATTCTTCGCCTGGTGGACTGACCTGTCTTCATCCTTGCGGGCCTGAGCCATTGGTGATCCCAGCTGTAAAGCATCACAACTCGCTTCCATCTACATTTACCATCGGGCAGGATGATGTAGGAGGTACTCCTTGGGGACCCTCGGTTCCACCCGTACACCCTCTCCGTGTGTGTGTGTGTGTGTGTGTGTGTGTGTGTGTGTGATGAAGATCCCCAAATGGCCAGGTGGCGGTCTCAATTTCCAATTCAGTGGAGCCATGATTGTGCCTCCTGGTGGAACTGTTCCTTCCTTCAGTTTAAAGACAATCAAAACCCAGAGCGGTCTGAACAGGAAGCAGACGGAAGACATTCTGATGATGGCGAGAGTCACCACCATCATTTCCACCCCCACTTCTGAGACCTTTTGGAAGAAGCATAATGGAATAGGTGTCTGGTTCAGAGCACGTATTCTCCAGGGGCCTGGTCTGGTCCACCTGCCAGGCCGAACTTTCTCTGCTCCAATGCCCTGCTTCCTTTCCCAGGAGTGCCTTCAGGCCCAATTCTGAGAGTTTGGCCAGGTGTCTTTGGAGACAGCCACCAGCGCTGTGAGCAGACTGAAATCCTGGGGGCGGGGGGAGGACAACAGTGAGGCTCCCAGAAGGGGCCATAAGCCACAGACTGGTCCCGGTCCCGCTGCCGGGCTGTTTTCTCTCAGTTCGGTGCCAAATTCCCACTCTGGCCTCAGTTTCCCTCTGGGTCCCAGTGGGGATAATAACATGGCTTCTCATCCCAGGGGGTGCTGTGCAGATTAACTAATTAATGAGTGTGACATCGTCTGCTTCCACAAAGGGGCTGATTAAATGCTGAGCGTTGTTATTAGAGCCTCGGCGGATGGGTGACAGGCAGCGTCGACTGGAGACCGATCTGCTCCCTTCGCCTTCTTCCCACCCCCTTCCTCCGTCTGCCCCGTGCTCCGCAAGCTGAACACTTTGCAAGACAAAAACCAAGATGATTTTTGGCACTCCAAAGACAGTGTATAACTTTTGCACATTTCCCCTGTGCTGGAATGTGTCATGGCTGAGCTCCATAGCGTAACCTGTCTCCGAAAGCTGGCACAGCTGTGCCCTGCCCCAGACTCTCAGCTCCCAGCAGCTGCAGAATGGGATGGCGTGGCCAGTGACTGCATCAGGGCAGAGCTGCCTGCAGAAGGACAACTGCAGAATTCTGAGCTGGGCACCAAGCCGCCGACTGCACTACCCCATGGCACAGGGGACTCAGTGACCACCTTTCCTCGCAGCCTGAGGGAGGGAGGGCCAACACAGCACACGGGCTGAAGGTTGGGGGGACTCAAAGCATGCAGGGTTTTTTTTTTTTTTATTCTTATGTTAATCCCCATACATTACATCATTAGTTCTAGATGAAGTGTTCCATGATTCATTGTTCGTGCACAACACCCAGTGCTCCATGCAGAACGTGCCCTCCTCAATACCCACCACCAGGCCAACCCATCCTCCCACCCCCCTCCCCTCTAGAACCCTCAGTTTGTTTTTCAGAGTCCATCTTCTCTCATGGTTCGTCCACCCCTCCGATTTCCCCCGCTTCATTCCTCCCCTCCCGCTACCTTCTTCTTCTTCTTTTTTTTTCTTAACATATCTTGCATTATTTGTCTCAGAGGTACAGATCTGAGACTCAACAGTCCTGCACAAAAGCATGCAGGGTTTTAAAGTACAGAGTATCTGCTCGTGGTTGTGGAAGATCCAATGACTCTATTTCAGGTTGGATGCAGGGTATAGGATAACTGGATGAAATCACAGCTCTGGGGCATGGTGACTTTAGCTCTAGCTTGCTCCCAGGTGCAAAAGTCCAGAGAGGCCCCTGAGTGTAGTCGTGAATGTGACTGTCCCCGTAGCTGTTGTGAGATGCTGAGTCCCCTTCCCTGAGGGTTGTCGCGTACTGGCTCCCACCCTGAGTCCTAGTACCTGTGTTGTGGTGGGAAGGAATCACTCGGTCCCATCACCAGGTAAATAAGCCTGCATCTGACAACCAAGGGGAATATTGTTTACCCAAATAGCACAAACTCAGCCTGCCTGGGGAGGTGAGAGAAAAGCTCTCAGGAGGCTGAGCTGTCAGACTCCCACAGGGAGAGAAATGAGCCAGTTGTGAGGACTAGGGAATGCATGTGAATTGGGGTTTAGGGCACCTAGAGCCAGCTTTGGATTATCCAGGGCACCTACTGGCAGGATTTCAGCCCTTGTTCCCTCTGAAAACTGCTGCCCTCCCTGCCTTCTTGTTTCTCCTGCTAGGAGATACAGGAATGGGTCATGGGGGCAAATAGCGTGGAAGTGGGGGCTGGACCACCTGGCATTAAAAGGCCAGACACTACTGGGATGTGCTGAGGTCCCGTGCAAGAAGCAAGTTGAGAAGGAGAAAGAGAAGGAGGAGGAGGAGGGGGAGGGGGAGAAGAAGGAGGAGGAGGAGGAGGAGAAAAGTTGTTCCTGCCCCACAGAGGGGAGCCTACAAGTCTGTACCTTTTACCTGAGCAAGCACAATTTGCAGAGCCTCAACAAATCCATATGGTGATGGGGTGATCATGGGGTGGAGATGCTGAAGGAGGTGATGGTGAAGATGGTTTGGGTGGCGGTGATGGTAGGAGGAGGACTGCTAGCTTCCACGGGGGAAGTACTGGGAAGCTTTTCTATTCCCGCCTCATCCTCCATCCACCTGGGTATCACCAGCATTTTGACTGTAATGCCCAGAGGATTGGGGGATCCTTGCATCTCATTAAACCAGCCTATTTGTAAGTGTCTGCTCCCCGATGGGTATTGTAGTAACTAATTTTTCTCCTAGGGAACTACGGGAGTGTAA